AAATAACAGAACAAAACAAAAACCCCTCTTATAATGAGTCAATTGGGAAATAACTTCCTTGGATTTCAAGAATCCTTTCTACATGCAGACATACAAGCTGCTTGAATGGATAAAGAGGTGGGTTGGATACTGTGGGGGAGATGAAAAAAGTGAAGTGTAAAAATTAGTATTTCCAAAGGTGTTCTGAGATCTGTCTTTGAGTTTAATGCAAATAGTCAACCTACTAGCATGCCTCAGCTGCTTAATTTTGCTTAGTTCAAAATATCAGTGACAGAAAAATCTTTGGGTAGTGCAGTGTGTACACATTAGTGTATCTCTTGATATGAAGAACTTTTTTCACTTTTTTTCTATAGCTTTATTCCAGCTCAAATCTGCCTCCACAGGAGAGCCTCCTGATAGTGTTACCATTTCTGAATCAACATACACTTTCATAACCAGTTACAGGTTTTCTTACTTTTTTTCAGAGAAACTTCAATCAGTTCTAGTCTCTAAATAAGATCTGTGGTGCTTTAGCCCTGTGTAGCTGGGGTTCAGAGTTGCTGAAGCAGGGTATAGCCTCTATCCATATCTACTTTGGGAGCTGAGCTATGTTATGTGTGTGCGCTGATAGAACTGCAAATTCAAGCAGTTAAGTTGCTATTGTACCTTACTGATGGCAAAATCCTTTGTCATTGTTCTTCATGTAGTCTGTCTCAGGGCCCCTGTAGTCAGGCCATGATGGGGAAGTACTGTTTGACAGACCTTTCCTAGCTGTGCAGGGGTCAGTGCAAATATCTTGAAGTCATGATGGGTCTGAAAAACATGGGCTAGATCAGCTCTGGGAAGGTCTTTTTTTTTTTTTAAATAGAAAAGAATCCTGAAATTTCTCTGCCCTTCAAGTGAGTGTTCTGTGGGAATGTTCTTAGACTGCTGTGAAAAAGCACTGGCAGCATAAAGAGGAGGAAGGCAGTCTTGCTCACCTAGCTAGCCAGATTAGTATAGCTTTTACGGCATTCTTGGAAAACATCAGACTTTAGCTTGTAAGGCTGGCAGTATATGGCTTTCAGTACGCCTCCCTGTTGGATAAGGGAAACTGGAATTTTTCTTAGTTTTGTGGTGAGAATAAGCAGACTTTGGTTGTAGGAAGTAATGTGGTTAAAACCAGATACATAACTCTAGTGAACAAATTTGAAAGAGAACAGTCTTTATTTTTTCATGATGTGCAACTACCTCATAAAATGTATCCATTCTAGGTCGCGGAATTTATTCCAACATGCTGGGATTTCTTGGTGGTGTCTCTTGGGCAATGTTGGTAGCAAGAACATGTCAGCTATATCCAAATGCATTGGCATCTACTCTAGTTAACAAATTCTTCCTAGTTTTTTCAAAATGGTAAGTGTTGCTGTCTATAGGAAAAACTAACCTGTATAAATACAGATTTGTCTAGTAAAAATAGCTGTACACTTGAAATTAGTCAATATCTGCTGTTAAGTTGTTAAGCACTTTTTAAACTACCTTAATTTGTATAAGAAAAGACTAAATCATTTGCAGTTGTTACTGCTTGATCTCTCTTGTATAGGGAGTGGCCCAATCCTGTGTTGCTGAAACAACCTGAAGATAGCAATCTAAATTTACCAGTCTGGGACCCTAGGGTATGTAGATATTGCATATTGTGCTTAATTTAGTTTACAATAATTTTAATTCCATACTAACTGGAATCATTTTAATATCGTAGGTAAACCCATCTGACAGATACCATCTAATGCCCGTAATCACACCAGCATATCCACAGCAGAACTCAACATATAATGTGTCTACGTCAACAAGAGCAGTCATGGAAGAGGAGTTCAAACATGGTAAAGCAGTTTAGCCCTCCCCATACCCTGATAACTGATTTAAAAAGGCTAAATATATGCCAAGTAAAATCATATTCTGCTCCTTAACTGCATGAAAATACATTACTATGTAGACGAGTTATTGTTTTATGGACCAATTCTGCCCTGGCAAGAGAATGGAAAAGTTATTCCTAAAAGTGAGAAATAGAAGATTTAAGTTTTGGAGTGGTATGGTAGAGAGAACCATGTTTCCATGATGTATTGAGATTACTGTAGCAGATCACCTAGTCTTTTATAGACCAAACTTCTGTTACTTCCCTTTCCTGCCCCCATTTACATATTATAGTACAGAATATCATCCAGCTCTTGGCACATCCATAATGTTCAAAATTTAGTACCAATAGTTGGATAGAAATAAATGGGGCCGTCCTGATCAATTTGCCTGTGGAAGTGTAACATAGCAAACTTTTTTAAAATCTGAAATGCAGGTCTTGCTGTCACGAATGAAATTCTCCAAGGAAAATCAGATTGGCCAAAGCTCCTTGAACCGCCAAACTTCTTTCAAAAATATAAGTATGTATGGAATCTATTTGCTTAACCTGAAATATTTGCAGCTACGATATAGTTGGAATAAGATTGTTTTCTGGTTAAAATAGCAAGATTTTTTCCTAGTTGTTAATACTTGCATGGTAAGGATCAGAGTTAAGGATGGATAAAATGGAGGTAAAGGTCCAAAATTATCAAGACACCAGAAAGAGAAGAGTGAAAAGTGTTACAAAAAGGCCAAATCAAATACAAATTGAAAACTTGGAATAAATGGCTAGGTAGCAGATACCAGAAATGGTTGTGGTTAGATGCTGTTGCATTGGAGCTTCTGCTAGCATATCCTTGATTCCTGTCTTAGTATATGAAGCAGTTATTCCTGTAAGCTTGACACAGTGCTTAGCTGGAGAACCTGCCTTGGTTTTAGGCTTCATGCTTATGAGCAAGTGCTTCTTTCTGGATTCCCTCTCTATATAAAAAATAAGTCTTTTTAAAACCTGTAACCTGTGAGGAAAGGTTGAAGGAATTGAGTAATCTGAAGTAAAAATTGAGCAAGAGATACAACTCTTCTTTGACTTGAACACTTCTGTTTTATAAATGAGAGTGATTACTCAGTAGCCAAATTGAACAGGTAAAGGACAAGAAAACATTGGCTTAATTTTGCAGCAAAGATGATTTAGGCTGGATACTGGGAAACTGTGTTTAGAATAGTGAAATGTTAGAACAGGTTTACCAGGTATGTTGTAGAATCTCCTTCAGTTTAATGGATCTGATTCTGCCTCAGGGTGGGGGTGTGGGTAAGATCTAATCTCTTGAGGTCACTTCTGCTTTCATGCAAAGGGAGATTTTCTTCCCCACTCACCCTCACATTCCTATCAAGCATGTGAGGAAGTATTGACACTAAGAGCTGATAACATAGTAAGCAAAATGGTTTTTCCAGCATCTGGTTTAAATTTGAAGTAAAAGCAAATTAGAGCCTTGTTTGCAAATTGAAATGGTCAAGTGGCTGCCTTAGATTTATCCAAAACACTCCACGAATTACAGTACTCCTTCACCTTGGTGAAAGTATTGAACATACAGGTACACATCTGAAAGGAGGAGGTCATTAGTTGCACATAAGTAATCCTAAAACAATAAAATACTGTATTAGTTTTGCAACACTAAACTTTCCAAGTCACATTCCTAAGGATTTTACAATTGCTTCTTAAGTAACTGTGTAATAGTATTTTGGATTTTAGCCAAGTTGCAGCTGTGCTAGCCTGTATACAGTGGAGGATCCTAAGGACTATAACTTTCAGTTTGTTTTCAGTATAATTTATACTGGGTAAAGCATAGATCTTGAAAAGTTTGTCAGCAAGTCCTCATGGTCGGGGGTCTTTGAACTGACTTAGCTCATTTTCTGTTCTTAGCTTTATTAATCTTAAATTTGATCCCAGAGTCAGTGGTTTGACTATTTTCAACATTTTCTAGGCATTATATTGTGTTGACTGCTAGCGCCTCTACTGAAGAGCATCATTTAGAATGGTAAGTCTTAAGTTTTGGGTTTACTCTTAAACAAGTGAAACCTGAGTTGGCCTCTCTTCATTGTATAAAGAGTAAATGGAACACTGAACCCTTCACTGCTTTTAACTAGTGTAATTAATAGCAAGTTGCATATCTGTTCATTTTGAACACTTCAGGAAAGCCTCTGTAACATTCCCAAGAAAATTAGCCTTATTTTATCAAAATAAAACATTTTTGGAATTCTTCTCTTTTTGGGAAGGAGTAGCTGCAGACAAGTGCTGACTTGCATATCAGGTCAGTGATATGCAAGAGGAATTATGTTACTTGTAATAGAGATGCTATTAAGAATCTGAATGGTCTGTTCATCACAATTTGCTGTTTTTACATACTATATTTAGTCAAATATAAGACAAGGGTTTCCTCACTTCCCTCCCTCCCTCTTGCCCCCATTACCATGGGGCAGGGAGGGGGGAGGGAAGGGGCAGGGAAAGCCCCTCACTCCACATTCGCATACAAGGGAACCACACAAAATACATTGTCTATCACTAAACTGCTGCCAAAAGCAGCAGGTGCTCAGTAATGGAAACCTCCAAGAAATTAGATTGCATACCTGGAAAACTTATAACAAATTTATAAATTTTTCCATCAATACAATCAAATTATTGAGGGGTCGTCATATAATCAGGGTTGTCCTATATTTGAGTAAATGCAGTAGTAAAGATGGTCTTGGTGGCTTTTCCAGAAATATGATCAGTGAGGGATTTAAATGATTTGGGACATGAACAAAGAATGCAAGGAAAAATGAACTGCATGAGTAAATTTGGTTCCAACTTAAGCTCTCTATGAATCATAATTGGGACTTGTTAATGTATTTAGCTTGTGATACAACTGTTGAGCTGCTTCTGAAGTAACATTCTTGTCTCTTTCCAATTGTAACCTTTCTCTTTATTTGGAATTGTAAGTCTATATTGGGGCTTACAATTACATTTTACTCTATTGCTTGTTAATTGACTACCTGGTCAACGTATTATGTAGTCTGCTCTTAAATGGACCTGTTTCAATAATCAGCTTTCTTCCTGGGGTCTGGGTATGAAGTTGCACTTAATAAAGTCTAAACATTAGATTATTATAAATTAGCTCTTTTTCCCATTAGGTTTTAGCTGTTGGCTAGGTCAGTAGCATTCCTTTTATTCGGCTCAAACTCTTATTTCAGAACTGCAGACAGTGACAATTCCAAGATGGTAGCTGTGTAGACCAAAGCTTTTTAAGTAGGTAACTGAAAAGTGCTAGTTTTCTGGAACTTTGCAAGATATACTGGGGTAGGGAGGAGGAGAAGAGAACCTTCTAAGAGCAAACAGTGATTTTTCTTCCTTCAGATCACTAACGCAGAATAGTACTACTTGCTTCTAACAAAATTGATCACTGTGACATCCTGACTACCAAAGGTAGCAATATCTGGTAATTGGGATATTTCAAGCTGCATATTCCCTCCTCCCAAATTTAATATAATTCCCAGTGTACTCTTAAAATAAATAACACTTGTTTATTGGAATACCTGGGCAAGTAACTTTAATGGCTTCTTAACATAGCTTTGGATTTGTATTAAGGGTGCCTATAACTGTGGTAGCAACTCCATATTTAGGGTTGCCTTAATACCATATCTACTTGAATAGAAGTCAAGATTGTTTTCCCCCCCCCCCCCCCCCCCCC